CCCCTGAAGCGGGGTGGGGAGTGGGCAGGGGCAGGGGCAGGATGGAGCTGCTCTGGCTAAACAGGCCCTTACTTACAGTTAGTACTCAAAGGAAGAAGAGGACCCAAGGCAGAACCTTTGGGTTCAGGGAGTTGAGGAGGAAAGTGTTCTCATTGAGAATGGGGAGGCATCAGTGAAGCCATAATAAGGGAGCTCTTTAGGAAGGAGCTGGGCAAATCTTTTCTCTACTGTGACATTCTGGAGCTTTAGTTCTGTGGCTCCCACTGTTTTCTGGTCTTGTCCCTTATTTTCTAAAAACTTACTATGTTTGTAACTGAATCAACTTCCTTTCCTCCAACTAACTTCCCTTCCCTAGTAGTTCCTCTTTATGTGAGTAGTGCTTCCATTCTTTTCACATTGAGCATCAGAATCCGAGTCATCTTTGTCACCTCCCCTTCCCTGGCTTCTCATACAGAATCATTACTGAGACTAGAGTCTCACATTCACTCCTTTATTCCCACCCTCATTTCCTGCTTAGGTTATTTTGATAGTTTTCAAACTTTAGTGTAGTCTTTTTTTCCTGTCTTTCACTATCTTTTAAAAAGAACTACATCCTTCTCCATTTTATTTTTTTACTTAAATTCAATTAGCCAACGTATAGTACATCATTAATTTCAGGTGTAGAGTTCAGTAATTCATCAGTAACGTAGAAGACCCGGTGTGCATCACATCACATGCCCTCCTTAATGCCTATCCCCCAGTTACCCCATCCCTCCATCTACCTCCCCTCCAGCAACCCTCAGTTTATTTCCTACAGTTAAGAGTCTCTCATGGTTTGTCTCCCTCTCTGATTTTTTCCCATTCAGTGTTCCCTCCCTTCCCTTATGATCCTCTGCACTGTTTCTTATATTCCACCTATGAATGAAACCATATGATAATTGTCTTTCTCCGATTCACTTATTTTACTCAGCATAATACCCTCCACCCATCCACGTTGATGTAAGTGGTAAGATTTCATCCTTTCTGATGGCTAGATGGTATTCCATTGTATGTGTATATTCATATGTATACACACACCACATTTCTTTATCCATTCCTCTGTTGATGGACATCTGGGCTCTTTCCGTAGTTTGGCTGTTCTGGACATTGCTGCTGTAAACATTGCGGTGCAGGAGCTCCTTTGGATCACTACATTTGTATCTTTGGGGTAAATTAAATTATCTTTGGGGTAAATACCTAGTAATGCAGTTGTTGGGTCGTAGGGTCACATTTTAACTTCTTGAAGAACCTTCATACTGTTTTCCAAAGTGGCTGCACCTGCTTGCATTCCCACCAAAAGTACGAGGGTTCCTCTTTCTCCACATCCTCGCCAACAATGGTTGTTTGCTGACTTGTTAATTTTAGCCATTCTGATGAGTGTGAGATGGTATCTCATTGTGGTTTTGATTTGTATTACACAAGTTTAAGAAAAAAAAACTTTCTTAGACAATCGTCTTTGATCTCACTGATAAGAGGAATTTGAAAAACAAGACAGGATCATAGGGGAAGGGAGGGGAAAATGAAACAAGACAAAACCAGAGAGGGAGACAAACCATGAGACTCTTAATCTCAGGAAACAAACTGAGGGGTGCTGGAGGGGAGGAGGATGGGACGGATGGGGTGGCTGGGTGATGGACTCTAGGGAGGGTATGTGCTATGATGAGTGCTGTGAATTGTGTAAGACTGATGAATCACAGACCTGTACTGAAACAAATAATACGTTATATGTTCATTTAAAAAGGTCATTCAGGTGTTGAGAACCATACATATGTGTGCATGTGTATATATGTGTTTCACTTAATAGATATATATTCATTAATCTTTGAATGTCTTGATGAGTCTTGGCTACCAGCTAAACTAAATTGTGATTTTATATTTAAAAACAAACAAACAACCTTTCTTACGTGGATGAATAAAGCGGAATTCTTAATTGAGTAGCCAAAATGAAATGCACACATTATTTGGATTTGGTTGCCGAAGCTAAATGAGACTCATAACTCCAATTTCAGGTATTTGTGGTCATTAGGATAGCCTCATTGTTTTCACTGGCTGACTTTATAATAAATAAATATTATAAATTTGAACCTCTAAAATTCATACTCATCAGATGCTTTTATGTTTTTTATATTGTCTTGGTTTGTGTGAGATTTAATCGGAAAAAAATTTTTACTAAATAAAATTATACTCATCAGCATAAACAGATGAATACCTATTTTAAGTGAGGCGTGCTTTAGCTGTATGCATTGTAGCCACACTTGGTTTTTATCCAGCCTAAGTCTCAATGTGTATCAACACTGATTTCATTGGAGATTGCTTGTAGGCCATGACTGTAGGTGGAGCCATCAGCCTCTAGTATATTATATAATTAGAACACATTGTCCCTTCTTATCAGACACTTGTTTGCAGACTGAATTACCTTGGATTATTGGGTAAGGAAGAATTTGAATTCTCATACTCTAAGGTTTCCTTTGCCCTTTTTTTGTTTTGTTTTTTGGGGCAGTGTAGGATTGATTAAGAAACATAAGAGTGAAGTAAAATAAAAAGTTGTTTTATAATATACAGGTTTACTCTGTGTTTCCCAGCTGTATTTTATTTGAGGTGTTTTAGAGGTGTAGTCACTTTTTGTTTGTTTTCCAAACTCTGTAGACTGCGTTTGAGTTTCATATCTGTTTAAATTCTCATTAATTTTGTGGCTTGTCAAACTCCAGAGACATTATTTGCTTAACATTAAGTGTTTATGAGTTGAATATAGTTCATAACTTGAGATTCTCTTCTGGTGCAAGTATTCAGTTTAGCCACTGTCTTCTCTGATGGTGTTTTACAAGAAGGCAGTATAGAACAGCTAAATCTAATATTGTTTCCAACATTTTATAAATGTCAGAAGACCTTTATAAATGTATTTTGTGACAGTTCAAGAGATTGGACTACAGTGACATTTATTAGTAAACTAAAAGTCCTTAAGAAAATGTGAGGTGATAGAGAGGAGTTCCCATTTTTTGAGTGAGAAATTTTTTATTTTCCAAGTAGTTTTCTTTAAGAGGGTTTTAGACTTCTGGTCACATATGGAGGTTGGAATATGTTTATTTTTTCTTCATTCCTAAATGCAATAAAAAGATGGTAATAAGGGCATAACTGAAGAAAGTGAATGAGGCAACATAATATCTGACTAGAGAAGCGAGGTGTTAGAAATATTAGAAAGCAGATGGAGAAATTATCACCATTTAGCAGAGCTGAGCAGTTTTGATTGAACATAATAGTGATCAGAAGATTGAACTATAATTTTTCTAATCATTCCCCTTAATGTTGAGTCATATATAGCATGTTTAGTGTCTGTATAATGAATTACCATAATTTATATAACCGTTTTCCCAATAATGACCATTGAAGTTTTTCAGCTCTTCAGTGTTGTAAATAGCATTCCATGCATTTGTTCTTTGAAAAAATATTTTAGATTTCCTTTTTCGACTTGTTTCCCCAAAATTGTTGAGTCAAAGTTTATGTCTTATGGATATTGCCCCATTCTGCCAGATTGCTCCCAAAGGCCATTCTCAATATGGAATCTCTGGTGTCACTACATTCTAGCTACCATTATGCTTACCTTAAGGTAGGTGTCAGTCGGGAGGAATGGGTGGTGCTTGCAGTTGATTTGTTGACTGTTGTGCTTTGAAAGACATGAGTAACAAGTTTACAGATTACTAGGTAAAGTTTACCTGGCTACCTTTACCACTGTTGACTTATGATAATGACAGGTGCTATGAGCTTAGAGGAAGAGGAATTTTCCTTTATTTGAGACGTTCAGGGAAGACTTCAGGGAAGTAGAATTAGAGTTACTTCTAAAATGGCAAAGATTTGAAGAGAAAAATTTGGGTAATCAATGAAAGATATGTTAGTCTAGATCCATTCAGGAGACAGAAACCACACAGTAACTTAAATAGTTAATCTAACATAAGGAATTACTAAGCTGTGGAAGAAGAGAAACTCTAAAGTTACTGTATAAAGAAAACTCTAAAGATACCCTAGGGCTGAGGGAGGGTACCCAAGAAAGGACAAACGTAGAGTGTGGGTTTCGATCTCATTGAAGAAGGTGTGGTTGCAGGTATGTGGTAGAGAAATTTGGTGGTTGCCTGCACCAGAGCTGGTCAGCAGTCACTGTGTTGGCAGGTGAACCAAGACTGGTGAGAAGTTGTACAAAGTGAATCAGGGAGCTGGTGCCGGTGTGAGGTCAGGAGCGCGTGGCTCCTGTGTTGGAAGGACCACGGTAAACACTCTGGGATCCAGGTGAGCTGAGACTGCTAAGCAGGTTCAGAGGAAGTTGGGGCACTGCCTCGGGTACTGCTAGAATGGAATGTTGGAGAAGTTTCCCTCTTAAGCAACTCAGAGCTCTATTGGGCAAGGCAGTTCCAGGCTGCTGTGTGGGACAAGGGTCAGGCAGCCAGTTCTTCAGTGCGCCTGTGGGCTGAGCAGCGCGTGCGGGGAGCAGCCACCTGGTCTGGGGTACACACCTGTGTTCCCTGGGACTCTTGCAGTATCACTGCTGTTGCTGCCCGAGCAGAGAGCTAGAGAAGGACCAGCTAAATGCTGGAGAAAGTTGTATCCTGTAGGCACCTTGGCACTAGAGCAGGGTATTTTTTCAATCTTGGCGCTATTGACCTTTTGGGCTGGTTAATTCTTCGGTGCAAGCACTGTCCTCAGCACTGTGGGATGTTAGGCAGCCCCGCTGGCTGACCTGACCTTGGTTCGCACTCCCATTGAGTCTTTCAGTTCACTGAAGACATGTCTCCCTGTTTGTCCTTACTCTTGTGGTTGGTTTAATTTTGTGCGTGTGTGTCATCCTATAATCCAGAATAGTTGACTAGTCTTATGCCTCCTGTATTTGCTTGTGTATACTGAAATTTACCTTTTTAAACACCTTGAATATTGCCTTTGGCTCAAAGCTTTACCTTTTAGCAACTCACTATATTGTTTTTACCCCTCTTATTTAGAAATGGACTCAGAAATCAAGGAAGAAGTTCCTATGCATGAAGAATTTATTTTATGCTGTGGAGTTGAAACCCAGGTTCTAAAATGTGGGCCCTGGACTAACCTCTTCAATGAGCCAAGAGCCAACAAGCCTAAGCTGCTTATTTTTATTATTACAGGTAAGTTTAAAAATCTGGATGAGGCGTCTTACTGTAGATATAGTAAATTTTTCAGATTTTAAAGAGAAATTGATAAATTATAGAAAACTGTGTGGAAGGAAATAAAATCACTCAAATCATTGGTGACAACTACCCTTTGTCCTTCAGTGGCTGGGCTTTATGTTTTTCTTCTATGCATTTATATTATGTATGTTATGTTATCTATTATATATTATTTCAAGTCATAATTGGAAGTATACTATACATATAGTTTTGTAATCCACTTTTTAAAATTTCTAAGTGGGGCACCTGGGTGTTTCAGTTAGTTAAGCCTTTGCCTTTGGCTCAGGTCATGATCTCAGGGTCCTGGGATCGAGCCCTGCATCGGGCTCTCTGCTCAGTGGGGAGCCTGCCTTCCCCTCTCTCTCTGCCTGCCTCTGCCTGCTTGTGATCTCATTCTCTCTGTCAAATAAATAAATAAAATCTTAAAAAAAAAAAAAAAAAGCGGCAGGGGGATGCCTGGGTGGCTCATTTGATTGAATGACTGCCTTCAGCTCAGATCATGATCCTAGAGTCCCAGGATCGAGTCCCACATCGGGCTCCCTGCTTGGCGGGGAGTCTGCTTCTCCTGCTGACCTCTCTCCTTTCATGCTTTCTCTCTCTCTCTCAAGTAAATAAATAAAATCTTTATAAATAAATAAATAAATAATAAATAATAAAATTTCTAGTATTTAGAGTAATCAAAATTATCACATTTTTGACAGTGTTCGTAACAGTTATTTCTGCCTCATTCCAAGATGATTAGGTTTACTGTAGAACATTTATTTATCCTGAGATTCGGGAGCTGGATCACTCGTGACTTTTGCTGGATCACTATCGATAGAATGTTAGGTAGGGGTAGATGCTTGCTTGTAGGTATTCAGAGTTCTTTTAAAATTGTGAGTTAGAACATATTTATATCACCCTGAAAGATCAAAAGTAAAACTGTAAATATGATCATACCATATATAGCTAAGTCAGTAGGGTATTATGATTGCATTTCTTTTCTTTTTTTTTTAAACAACTTTATTTATTTATTTAAGAGAGAGAGACAGAGATAGAAAGAAAGAGGATGAGCAGGGAGGAGAGGGAGAAGCAGGGTTTCCCCAGAGCAGGGAGTCTGATGCAGGTCTCCATCCCAGGACCCTGGGATCATGACCTGAGCCCAAGGCAGACGCTTAACTGACTGAGCCAGGCAGGCACACCACATTTCTTGTACATTTTTTCTTGTTTGTTCTCCCTAGGTTAATGATTGTCTTATTTGCATAGTTTTATATTTTTTAATCACTAATTTATCCTAAAATTGTTCTCTAGGAAATGGGGAAAAAATCTTTTTACTGCGTTTGAGTAATCAGTCAGGTCTTGTTTTTTTTCTTTCTTTGGAGCTATCCTTCACAGACTCTGTTCTTTGGCTCCAGTCTGACTGACTGACCTGTGGGACTGCTGTACAGGCCATCCTGGGGACTTTTTTTAACTTTCTTCCTGGGTTAGATTCCATTTCCTGGATCTCATATTTTCTTATTTCTTGGTTTATTGCTTAAGCACATCTTCTAGGAACTTCCTGAGAAGAGGTGCTTGGGAAGTAATCTTTTAAAGATCTATCGTGTCAGAAAATGTCTTAGACTTCTAGGATGCAGAACATTTTTCCTGACAGTTTAGAGGGTGTTTTAGCTGTTTTCTAGGGTTCAGAGCTGCTTCTGAGAAGTCTCAATATCATTCTGATTTTCGATCTTTTGTATTTGAAGCTCCCCTGTAAGGCAGAACATTTTAGATCTTTTCTTTGTTGTAAGAGTCTGAAATTTTATAGGAAAAGCACTTTGGTATGGGTGTTTTTTCATCCACTGTAGGCTTTAGTGGACCCTTTTAAGCCAAAAACTCATACACTTCAATTCTAAAAGCTATGTTGTTGTTGTTTTTTATAGACTCTTGTTTCATGGGTGCATTATCATTTCTTTTGGCTTCTTGCATTCCTAGAGTTTTTAGTGCACTAGTGTTTGTTTTTCCTGTTTGTTTGGTAACCTTTCATTTTTCAGAGGAAGACATAAACAGCTAATTGAAATCTTTGTCTTCAGTGTTGATGCTTGTCCATGGTTGCACCTAGAGTGACCAACTGTCATAGTCTGAGAGGTTTTCCAAGACACATGGTTTCTGGTACTAAAACCACAACAGCCCTTGGCAAAACAGGATGGCTGGTCACCCTAGGAATCCTCATGCTAGGGTAATTGGGTAGGGACCCAGGATTTCACTGGAGAATTTCCAGCTTTCAGTATCTGCAGCTGTTTCTTGGGCCATTCAGTTTTTCCAGGAAGGAATCTTCCAGTATCCAGTTTGAGGAGTGGAAGCCTGTTTGCTGATATTCAGGGCTGAACAAGGGAAAGAAGGTTGGGAGTTTCAGTGTTTAATAACACTTAATCTGACCCCTTCTTGGTAAAGTGCTTCTGTTTGCAGCTGGCCTAAGATTCCTGATCCAAAATGCCTCTTCTGTTTAACCTCTTCTAGAAGTAAAACTTCCAGTCTCCTGTCATGATGTAAAAGTCTTTTTGGAAAGCAGTCTATTGATATCTCCCAAAATTAAAAATACACATGCCTTACTAGCAGCAAGGGAGAGTTTGAAGTTATTGGCATGACACGTGCTATTTGATGGAGCAGAGATTTGAGGCCAGGGCAGAGTATAGGATTGAGAAGGTAAGTAGAAACGTTGTCTTAGACTGGAGATGGCATATTCTTCTGAGGCTAGCATGAAGGAGGTGAAGTTAGTTACTGAAGTGGAGAAGCATGAAGGCATGTCAGAGGGAATAAAGTAGTTTCTGCCTCCTGAGCTCTGTCTTCTCTGCTAATTAAGAGACGAGGTCGTCTGTTGAGAATAAATGTGGCAAAGGGTAGATAAGGGCCCTGAGGAAAGTGGTCAGCACTGAGAACAGCAGATATGTAGGATGAAAGGAATTATCAACCAAAACCAAATAGGCAGATTTTGAGCAGCACTGTGATGGGATAGCAGATGTATTGGGAGTGAGATCTCAAAGAGTAGAAGGCCTGTCAAGTGAGAATGGTTTGAATGTTAACCATTTCTGGGTAATGAGAAAATCTAAACCTGTGATTCTTTAAGTTGGAGTTGGGACCAGCAGTATCAACCGAGAACTCCCTAGACATGCAGGTTCTTGGGCCCCCTTCTAGACCTTCTGAACCAGAAGCTCTGGGGGTGTAACAGCCTCTGCATTAACAAACCCTCTGGAGGATTGTGATATGCACACCACCGATCTGGGGCATAGCTTGTTGGGTAAGCTTAATGTAGGTGACGTTCTTCAAATTTGATTAAGGTAATGAGTTGTGGGACAAAAGTGTTGGCTCAGTGAATCCACCTGGATTTTGAAATCTCCTGACATGGAATGGCAAGTGAGACTATCATTTAAGGGTCAAGGTTTTCAGGGAATGTGTGAGAATGACTAAACAGTTGATAGATGAAAGTGGAGAAGGAGAGGTTGTTAGAGTAAAATGGATTAGTAAGTGGAGCTGATTGCTCACTGTGCTTCCCCACTCAGAGGTGCTCATTCACTTACTTGTGTGCACTCGGTGTGGGGAATCCTCTGTCGCAAAAGTCTTTGCTCTCCTTGAGCATAAGGGTGTTAGAGAAGAGTGCCTGCTCTCCTGCACAGGCTTGAAAGGAAGAGTCCATTATAGCGGAGAGCCAGGATTAACAAACGATGAAGAGGTAGGTACAGGGAGCATTCAGTGAAGACCTGGTGGAGAAAGGGAAACTTAAAACATTTGTTGTTTTATGGTGTCACTGTTTTATAGTGCTTTGACATTTTCAGATGATACTTGGTTTCTTAGTGTTCTTTCATGTTTGCCCTTCTATTCTCATTGCTGCCCTTGGCCCTTTTTCTTGGAGTTCATGGGACCTGTAGACTGGTGCTGCTCATTAGTTTTGGAATTCAGAACTGTATTCAGACAGGGAGAACTGTATTTTGTATATTTATATTTGGGCTGAGTCTGTTTATACATTGGGGAAATTAGGGTGACAGTATTTCAAGGAATGTTAAGCCACTAGAGACCTCACGTTTAGTCTGTCTCTGACAGACTGATACGACATTTCATTTTCAATCATTTCATATTTGCAGCTAACAAAATTAATCAATCACTTTTAAGTTAGTAATGATAATGAGAAGGGATTTATTAGACTCTGCAGATGGAGCAACTTTTAATTTCATCTTTTCCAGTGAACCTGTGTTTTAAGAGTTTTTGTTAAGTAGCAGTATCCTTGGACTTTCTTTAAATAGGGAAATGAGCAAAGGGAGCCAAATTGAGAATTCACTCTAGAACATATTGAGTCATTCTAACTCTCAAGTGGTCATCTGGGTATAATAGAGTCATGTAATGTGTCTTGTGTGGAGTACAGTGATTGGAAATGGAACAGACAAGTCTCCATAGGGAAGCCCGAAGTTCTTTCCCCATGACAGCCTTCTATATAGGTGCCGTGCCACATTAACTTCACATGTGGGAAGAACTCAGAACCCAGAGATAGGGAGAAAACATTGTTCTATATCAGTTCATTAGCTAGTACTCTCCGTTTCATATTATAACTCATCATAATTATTGCATCTAAATTATGTAGTTGTTATCTATGGATTCTTCTGAAACCAGTTTTAACATACTGTACACCTTAAACCACAGAATGTCACATGTCAAATTTATTCAATAAAAAATAAATATGTAGATTGTGTACTTTGCTAAGAGGAAGCAAGATGGCGGAGGAGTAGGAAACTGAAATAGCATTAGATCCCAGGAGTTCAGCTAGATAGTTACCAAACCATTCTGAACACCTACAAATTCAACAGGAGATAGAAGAGAAGAAGAGCAGCAATTCTAGGAACAGAAAATCGACCACTTTCTGGAATGAAGGACATGTGGAGAAGTGAATTCTAAGCAATGGGAAGATAGACCATGGGGGGAGGGTCCAGCTCCCAGCAAGTGGCGGATTAGCA